AGCCGGAATGAGAAGCACCGCCCTGCTCTTTCCAGATGCCAGGGAACAATCCCCAGAGTCCTAGTGTTATACATACTCTGCAGACTTCAGTCCAGAGCCTGGCCCTTTTTTTTTTAAGTTAAAGTATAATTAACACACAATGTTATATCAGTTTCAGGTGTACAACATATTGGTGCAACAATTCTATACATTACTCAGTGCTCATGGTTAGTGTGGTCAGCACCTGTCACCATACAACATTATTACAATATTATTGACTATATTCCCCATGCTGTACTTTTCATTTCCATGACTTACAACTGGAAGTTGTAGTCTCAATCCCCTTTACCTATCAAAGAATTTGACTCTGTCTTTCCCTCTCTTTCCAGACCATACAACCCCTCAGACTGAAGCCAGGTTGTAAAAGAGCATGTTTTCCCTTCTCTCTCTGTGCATGCACCCATGTGAAGGCTTTTATAAGTGGATCATACCACATATGCAATTATTTCTGCAATTTATTTTTGTCACTTGGCTTCCTTTCATTGTGTAATACTGATCTGCCTCATTATTCAAAGACAGCATAATATTCCATTATTAAGCATATACTATAATTTGCTTAACCATTTTCCTGTTGGTGTCATTTGGTCTTTTTCCGTAATATTTTGCTATTGCTGAATATGCTGCAATGAACATCCATGTGGGCATGTATCCTTCAAAGTTTGTGCAAATATTTCCAGAGTGGAATCACTGAGGTCAAAGGATACATAAATATAAAATTTTGACAGGTGTTGCAAAAATGCTTTCCATTTATCAATTTACTCTTCCACCAACAGTTTGTTAAGCTATTCCTCCAGGATACTCTTACCAACACCAAATATAATTAAGTTTTGTACTATTTGTTAATCTTATAGGCAAAAAAATCCTGTTGCCTTCTTTTAGTTTGCCTTTCTCTGATACTGGTGAAGTTGAACATCTTTTTCTATTTTTGTTGGGACTTTCTATTTTTTCTGTGGATTGTCTGTTGAATAGATTTTTGATGACTATTAGTTTGGAAGATGCACTATAATACCTCCTACTTAATCTCTCTATCTCCTTTTTCTCCATTACATAGACAATCTTATCTAGTCAATTCTTACTCAAAAGAGCAGAGGGGAAACAGTATGCATAATTCAACATTTGAGAAAAGAACAATGCAATTTATATAGGATTTTAAATGTTTTTAGAAAGAGTGCAGATCTGGGAGACATTGGCTTACCCCCTAGTTCTGCCTCTGTCTATCTGGGTACCTCTGGGGATTTTACTTTCTTCACTGAGCCCTGGTTTTCATAATTATAGATTGAGAATAATAGCCTACTTTGCCTAATTGTGGTAATTAGATAAGATAATGTGTGAACCAACTGTCACAGAGCCTGGCCTATAGTACAGTAGGGGAATAAGTGGTTATTATTACAGTGTTATAACATTTGATTATGGGAATTCTTCTAAACTAGGAAGTTCCTACATTCACTGTGAGTTTCTCAGTCCCATTCCCTATGCTTACATCAGCTACCCTCTAACTCAGGCCGCTTGGCTTAGCTCTCCTTCCCTCTGCCTCTCTGGTTGAGCAGAGTTGTCCTCTTCAAAGTTAAGAGTTTGAATTTAAAGTCTGCAGACCCAGAGGTGGAGATGGCCCTGAGCTGTGATCAAGCCCTAAACAGGCTGTGTGCTAAGAGTGGAGGTGTTAGCAAACCTAGCATCAGAGAAGGTCTCACTTTCCCCCAAGGGTAACTGTCAGATGAAGCCTGTGGTTCATCCATAGTCAAGAACTGACCATGGTTCCAGTTGAAAAGCTTTCTGTTGGAAGTAACAGACCGTGGGGGCACAAACTTAATATCTTGGCTCATAAGAAGGATGGAGACAGGGCCGGGCCAAGGTGGGTTCATTCAAGCTGCTTAGTGACATCCTCCAGAACCCAGGTCTTCCCACCATCTTTCAATACCACCACCAGCAGCTTTCTGCTGGTCCTGTGTTGGCTGTGTCGTGTCCCAAGGGGGTGCTGCAGAAAGCTGTATCTGGAGACATAGAAAAGAAGCTTCTCCTCCTATGTCTCTTCTAAAGAGTGAAGAAATCTTTCTCACAAGTCTCCTTACAGATTACTCCCAACATCATATTGGCCAAAAACTGAATCAGTAGCAGGACAATGAAATTACTATTACTGATTCGGCCTGCTGTGGGTCAGAGAGAGGCCTGGCCAGTTCTGAAGCAGGTGGCTGCCCAACACCTGAATGAAACTTAGGATGGAAGAGGGGAATGGCTGTTGCACATGATGATGACGATCAACAGGGTGTACCACTGCCATGTGTGTTTATAAGGATTCATAAGATGTATGAGATCCGATTTGAAATTAATATGCAAATACTTCAGTTAATCATCTAAAATACCAACTTTGAAGTTTGTAACCTGTAAGTTTAGCATTACAAAGGGAGGACAGTAATTGTTCCTGTCATTTTTTAGAGCTAAGAGTGTTATTTATGAGTAAATAATACAGCTTTAAAAGGAATAAGCTTTGAAGAATTCCCAAGCATTTGGCATGGAGTGTTATGTGGCTCTACTGAGATCTTAGGATAGAAAACTCTTGGGCAGGTGGGACCCAAATGGGACAGTCAGGGGCCAAGGTGACCCTCATAGGGTTGTGTCTGTGGTAGAGGCCCGCTGTTCTGATCGCCCAGTGAACCTCATACCAAACACCTGGAATATAGACATGAGGGGAGAGAGGCACATGAGGGGAGTGTAGTTCCAAAAAAGGAGTTCATTCTATGACAGCCCTTAAATATCCCCAGATCCCCGTCACCTGGAGGGCCAAACTGATGACATTCCTCCTGTCATGTTCTCTGTCTTTGCCCTTCAAGGCCAGCTCATGCTGAGGAGGACAGGTTTCAAATGTAACAGGGCACACTCCACCATTAGTGGCAAAGCGGGAAACATAGGGTGCTTCCCAGTTCCCCAACTGGGAAGGATGTGAGTGAAGTCACAACTGTAGAGCCACCATGATGTCTTGGCTCCTTCGACTCTAGAATGCTTTCTGGAGACTGACTTTCTGGAATGAAAACCTTTCTGCACAGTTGCTTAGAAAAGAAACTTAATCTGTGAAAGAGGCAAAACCAGGTTTGGGCAAAGTTACGCAGATGAGATCCTGGAGAGGCAGCCTTGAATGCTGTTGTCTACATATGTGTTTGGGGATGGGGTGGGGAAGGGCCAGCAAGTGTACTGTAGGGAGCTCCCCCTGGGATGCATGCTGGTGCCACCGACCCACATCCCACACCCAGACCGATTACACCACAATCTCAGGAAGAAGGCAGTGCAGGATTGAAACTACCACATCCAAGTTCTCGGAAATATTTCTCCCAGTGTGTTACCCTAAGAATTTTGTTCATAGTACCACCTTGGATAATGTCATCAAGGGAATTCATTGTCCCCTCTACCTATGCCTTCCACCCCAGAGACATGCTGTCTTGGGGATGTGAATAGAGAGGATGGGAGCCCTCAATAGGCTGGTTTTTCCCTCTCTGCTCCAAGACTGAGCCAAGGAACCAAGGCATGGTTTTGTTGAGATCCTCAAGGCTGGCTGACCACAATGCCCTTCTGTGTGTCATGTTGTTTTGGATATCTGATGGGGGAGGCCCCTACTCATCAGTCATGATCTCCCATGAGCAACAAAAAGCTCTCTCAATATTATAATAATTTGGAAAGCTGATTGAACAAGAGATTAGTTCTGTAAGGGGGGAATGACAATGGTTAAGGCAGTGAATCATATGAAAAGGGGAACACAGGAAGGTTTTTAGCCAGAAAACATGCTCTGAGAAAATATTTTGGGGAGATCTATTCATTTGTACATCCAGAGTCTGGTTTTATACCTGTCATTCCACACCAGGTCTAGGAATGTGGCCCAGTCATCTTACTTCCCTGATCCCGAGTTTCCTCACTTGTGAAATGGGAACAGTGGTAGCTCAGGATGGCTCTGAGGACCATGGATGCTCATGACTCTCCTCACTTAGTTGAGTCAGGAAGAGATGGGCCAGGGCTGCATAACACTCACAAAATTGAGTTGGGGCTGGCACAGGTCTGCTGGCTAATACCAAGACCAAAACAGAAACGTCCCTGGATGGTTCCAGAGTCAAACCAGAGCCCTTCCCTGTCCACAGGCTCACAGCCTACTTAAGGAGGCCATCATGCCGGGAGCCAGCTGAGATAGGCTTGTCCCATGTGCCTTTGTTCCCGTTATATAAAACAAAAACAAAAACAGAAACAAAAACAAAAACTAAAACAAAAAACAGAGCAAGCTCAGCCCTGTCATCTAAGCTGAATAATTTGGCCAGACTTGAGCGATACTCTCCCTAATATAGTGGCATTCTCAGGGTCACTGAATGGCTTTCCAGTATTTCCTAGCTCTGTTCTATACCAGCTGTGGAACTTTGGGCAAGTGCTTTAATATCCCTCAAATCTGCTCCTCCATTATCTGCAAAATAAATATGGTCCCATGGAATTATGGTGAAGGTTCAGGTCCCTGAGATAGAGTGCAGACAGCGTTAGCACAATGCCTGGAACATGGACAGAACTGTGCAAATGGTAACAATCACTACTATTGGCTTACTGAAAGAAGCAGGCTTAGCGATTACTGAGTAGTACTATATATTTTTTTAATATAATAAAACCATATTTATTTAGAAAAGAACTCTAATTCATTCTCTCACTCATCAAACTGGCCCTGTACCCTATAAAATTCAAATTACTGAGGTTCTTGTTATACTGATAGGCAAATAAGGTTCACAGTCAGGCCAGCCCCCCCCCACCCCGATTCTCTCCAGTACCCCACCTGCTACAGTCAGCGTGGCATGACTGAAGTGACCACCATCTTCCATTCCTGAGCCCCAGGACCCTGTGTCATCAGAGTCACTTCTCGATGGCTCCGAGGTAAGAAAAGTTGTAGCACGTGTCAGGAGCTTGAGTCTGTCTGCACTGAACTTGCCTGTCTCTTCCGGCAGGCGGTAAAGCGGTTCTTGAAACAGGAATGCAAGTGTCACGGTGTGAGTGGCTCGTGTACTCTGAGGACGTGCTGGCTGGCCATGGCCGACTTCAGAAAAACGGGCGATTACCTCTGGAGGAAGTACAACGGGGCCATCCAGGTTGTCATGAACCAGGATGGCACTGGTTTCACTGTGGCTAACAAGAGGTTTAAGAAGCCAACAAAAAATGACCTCGTGTATTTTGAGAATTCTCCAGACTATTGTATCAGGGACCGAGATGCGGGTAAGTTCAATGCACGTTATTCATGATACCTAATTCTTTCACACTCAATACTCAACAATTTAAATGCAGTTTTGTATTTTCAGCCTGATAATTCTGTAAGTGCAGCCTGCTGCCTTCAGATCCAAAGTTCGTGTTTTTATAAGTCGTCTTTAAAGTACACAGAGCTTTCCTAAGCAGCTGGAGAAATGGGTTGATAATGTGCAGGTTCTGGAGGAATGTGAACCCAAGAAAATACATGGCAAAGAGTCAAAATATGCAGATTAGCAAGATTCTTCAGCCTTGACAAAACTCTAACAGGTCGACTAATGTACACTCTGTACATCAACCCAGCATCTTTCCTGTGATCCCAGAGCCAAGAGGAATAGAGCTATGCAAGGTACCTCCCCCCCATAAATCCCACCTCAGTGACTCTGGAAGAGGGGCCCAGGGCTTTAAAGTTAGCCTGCTTTGGGGCACTTGGGTGGCTGAGTCTGTTGAGCATCTAAAACTCTTGATTTTTCTCAGACCATGATCTCACGGTCGGTTGTGAGATCAAGCCTCACTTTGAGCTCTGCACTGCGTGTGAGTCTGCTTAAGATTCTCTCTCCTTTCCCTCTGCCTCTCCCTGCTTGCACTGTCATGCTTGTGATCTCTCTCTCTCTCTCTCTGAAAAAAAAGTAAATAAATAAAATAAATAAAGTTAGCCTGTTTTGAAATCTGCCATACTTCTCACTCTCTTGCTCTTTCCAATATGCTGAGAAGTTGCCAAATATTAGAAAGCAGAAATTTATCCCACTGGCCTGGCTGTCAGTGGGCAGTGAATGAGAGCTATGTAAGAGGCATTTTGTGCATTAAAGCCACACCCTTCCCTTGCAGACGGCACCTTCTCTGTCTTGAACTCACTCAAAGCTCCGTCAACCTCAACATGGCTGTTCCCACCAGTGTGGTTTTATGCTGCTGTTCTCCACCTCTCACTTCTCCTGGGCAGCACTGAGCTCCAGGCTTGGCACAGTCTTTGCAAAGACTCTGATACAAAATACGAATGAGTACAAGTCTCAGTGGATAGGAGGAGATGGAGAGCCCACAGCCAACTCTGGCTCAAGCCAAATTCTCAGACTTAGTAGAAAGCAAGGGAATTCATCATCAGGAAAAACATCCTTGAATTTAAATTCTGAGTTTGTTTTTCAATCCAAAGTAATTGCAAAGGAACCAGTAAAACAGCATAGATGGCAGCCAGCTCCTAACACTAGAATGACCAAGAGGCACAATTACCAGGGAATGTCACAGGAAGTCCAGAACCTCTCCTTTGTCCCTGAGTGGCTGAATTTTCTTTCTGGTTTGATGAGCACATTCTCTACAGCATTTGGGCGGGTTTGTACATGAAGCCCATGGATTAACAAGTACTGAGCACAAGGACCAGATGCTACACCCTACTGCATTCCTGACGTGCTTTGGGACCTCTAACAAGTCAGCCTACCTGTCAGGCCCAAGTTTCGGCCAAATCATCACAAAACCTATACTTTGATACTGGATTTTCCCAGAGGTCTGGCTCCTCTCTGCCAGCAACTAGCTGTTTAACCTCAGGCTCCTCGGACAGGACATGGGGATGATGACACATTGATCACTTTAGGAATTACAATGGATTGACTCCTGTGTGCCAGGTACTGGGCTAAGATCATTGCACACATGGTCTTATTTAATCCTTAGAGCCGCCCTATGACATCAGTGCACTGGAACCAGTTACTGAAAGAAAAAAAAAAAGGGTGGCTCCTGATTGATCAACACTAACCAAGAACCAAATTCACATCTCAGCTTTTGAAATCAGATAAGCAGCCTTGAATATCATCATCCCAATTGTACAGATGAGAAAAGTGAATGACTAGCTCGAGATCTCATTGGTCTTAGAGGGAATGGATGTCTGGCTGTCTGACCCCATGGCCCGTACACCTTACCCTGACTTCACAACCCATCACTAGCTATTTCTAAAGAGGTGATAAGAAGCAAAACCCTCATTTCAAGTGTAAGAGGACCTGCTTCCCTAAGACATCTTTTCTGAGTTTTTAGGTTGAAGCAGTTTGTACAGTCAAGCAAACAGTTATTATGCTTGATGACCACTTGCTGCCTTATGGATATTATGACATAAAGACCTTACCTTGTCTTCCCCACAGAGGATATTCTAAATCTATTCCCTGATGCCTCTTCAGGATACTGTTATTCTTCCACACTTCGCTTTTTCTACTCCCAGTATTAGAACACAATTCTGTTTCTTGATTTTAAACTAGCAAATTCATCTGCAGTACCTGCCACTCATTAGCACTTGGTCTTCATTCTATCATTGATTCTCACAAAGAATCTATAAGTGAGTATGTTATTATCCCATTTTATGGGAGAAAAACACTGGAGCTCTGACAAGCAGGTTATGGAATTTGCTCAAACTCTTAGTTCGTTAAGAGGCAGAACAGGGACTTGAATCAGAGTCTGTCCATCCGTTTAACCATTTCACTCTGCCTCCAGATGCGTCAGCCACAAGGCAACACATGGCAGGGGCTGACTTTCTGAGGGAAGTTTTATATTTATTCACTCTCAATTTATTTCTATTCTATTTTAGGCTCATTTGAGCTTATCTCATTTTTAGCTTAAAAAGATGTGAATTTGGTTCTTGTTGGTGTTGATTAACCAGGAGCCACCCTAGTTGTTGTTGTTGTTGTTCTTCTTCTTCTTCTTCTGTCTTTTTTTTTTTTTTTTTTTTTTTTTTTTTT